ACACACACACACACACACACACACACACACACACACACACACACACAGGGAGCAGATGAGGCTTTTGTTAATTTGTTTCAAATAGTCAACACAAGCCTGCATTATGAGGCCTAATTGATCTAGCGAGTAGTTGAAGATGACTGTAATTACACAGGCTGCTTTATGGATTTGTGCTGCTGCAGCTATACAACCATTCCTTGTCGAACATAAACATTGGCCAAGCTGATGATTTGAGTAGACAAGACAACAGGTGCCATAAGTGTTTGCATCGGAGAATATAAAGCAGGGAAGAATTTGCTGAAGCGATTGAAAATATTTTCCCCTCTCTGCCGTCTGGAGGTGAGATTAAGTCAAAGCTGCTGCTCAAAGGAGTGATTTAATCTTAATTGCGTTTTTAGCTTTACATATTAATTTAATTCACTCATCATCATGTGCCAGGGTGAGGGACAATTAGGGAAAAGGGAAAATCAGTTAGGGTAATGTACAAGCACCTGGATGTTTGGCATGCGTGTGTGTGTGTGTGCTGTTTTAGAGAGGGAGAGAGAGCGAGATCAAGCTTTACGACTGTCATGTGGAACATACCTGACATACTCTGTGTTCCTAAGCTCTGATGTATTAGCACAACTAAATATTAACAAACACAAAGCAGGAAACATGTACTGCTAACTTAAGTTATGTGAAAAATATGGGTGTCAGTGCTGCTGAGTACATTTCCTTGAGTGAGTGTGCCAAAGGTTTGGGAGGAATTTCACAATAAATGTTCCTATTCCACATTTCAGATTTGTCTTAATTTTGTAACAAGTCATGTCCGACTGAAAAGCCCAATATCCTGTCCAGGTCATAGTTTTATATCTTTGTTATCGTCAACAAGTCACATGAAAAGACCAAAACCAACAATGTTTTAATCTGTGTCACAGTACTTTCAGACTTCCCCAGATTGTCTGGCAGATTATTACACATTTGGTGGATTAAGGAGTATTTATCGTATTTACAGCAGCAGGGCTGTGTATGTGGAATCGAATCAAAATAAACTACAGTGGGTGTGTTACTGGCAATGAAGAATCATGTTGGACAACAATGGCGGTCTCTCGCACAGAGGAATAAACTGTATCGGACGTTTGACTACACAGGCGATACTTTTAAGGAATATAAAAAACTAGTGGAAAACTTACTGCTGTGTCTTCTCCAGCTCTCCGTACAACCAACCGTCCTTCTCCTCTTGGATGAACAGAGTGATGACGTCGCCTTCCTCGAAGCTGAGGAGTGTGTGGTTGTTGCCTGCCGTGTGGGGAAAGACGGTCTGAACTCTGTGCTTCCTGCCCACATTGAGACCGGACGACTGGGATGTCGACCGCGACATACTGACCTCTCCAAGACTGCCCTGGTCTGGAGGAGATTAGAGATGGGATCATGTCAGTTATCTGTCAGAACTTGAAATCAAAAAGGTAATTCAAAGCAATATTAAATTGAAGCAGTAAGTAGTTTGACATTTTGGGAAAGGTGGAGGGATTTGTTTTACCTCTTTGGACAGAGGCTAGTTGTTTCCCCCTGTTTCAAGTCTCTGATCAAAGCTAAGCTAACGGGCTGCTAGCTTCCGTTTACCACACAGATATGAGAGTTGTATTGTTTTTTAAAATTCCAACACAACTTTTCAGACAACATTGCTCAGATTTTGCCAAAACTTGATGATACGTGACTGGCTGATGTACCTGGTTAACGATAGGACTGAGAGATGCCACAGTCACTTGTGAGGGGCAGGTATATTTATGTTTGTGTTTCAGAGAAGCCCTCCGTACCTGAGTTGTGGTCTGACGGGGGGCTGAAAGGAATCCTGGCCTCTGGGTTGAACATGTTGGCTAGCGGGCTGATCTGTGCCTTCAGTTGCGGCGCTGGAGGAGGCACCCTTGACTCCACGTTGTTCTGAGGAGATGAAGAACAATATGATGAGCAGATGCAAACTGTGACAAACTCGGAAACGGATATAATACATTTTGAAAACAAGCATTTTCTCTGAATGACCAGGGTGAAGTCTGTGTCAAGACTATGACGTTTAAACAGCCATTATCGTAATTGAAACTGAACGTGTTCCTCCTACGAGGCAATAAATTGCCACACAAAAACACAACCAGGGGACTGTACAAGAGCAACAAGAGCACGTGCAGGATTTCCCATGGCTGATGGCCAGATAACAATAACCAACCACTTTACACAGCCTCAATCTGATACAACAGATATCAGCACCATTGCAAGATAAAATACAAGCAACAACACAGGATGAAACACTGCAGGGCCAGTCTTGACTACACGGTTTATCCTTGTGTAATATTTGGGATGCTTTTATCCACAGCTGAAGCATCTTGCAGTTAAGATGAGTGTTAAAGATAGGGATGAAAAGCAACACAGGATAAGAGAATAAAGCTCATGATATGATATCCGGATATCATATCATGAATCCAAACAGGACCAGCTAATACTCACCCTGTTGTAATGTTCAAGCACAGGCGATTGTTTTGGAGTGGGGGACAGCTCCTCTATCATGGTGGTCACCGTGTCCGGCACCTTGGTGATGTCGCTGCACTTTTCCTGCCAGCTGGGGAGCCGCACGGCCAGCATCTCTTTGGCCTGGAAACACCAGCGAAAGGAAGGTGTCAAACTGTCCATTAATGTAGGGGTCTGACTAGGATTACCTCTCTGTCCATGCTTACTTTCTCATGGAAGTTGCTAATTTGAAAGGAGAACATGCAATGTTTGTCCGCCAGGAAGCAGAAGCGTCTTTTTTCTTCTAGTAAGGCCTCTCTGCAGCCATCAGCGATGAACTTCTGCATGTCCACCTGGCGCGACGAAATGGTTTCCACATACTGCAGACAGGGTCATAGGACAGCAAGGAGGTCATGGTACTGGTTTAATAACTAGTCAGGTTTCAAATGAGCAATATAATGAGGGAGAGATTGTATTTGTACTATATTGTATGGAGAAGTGACCACAAAGACAATGAAGAAAACAATAAAACTGAGAGCAAGGTGTTCCTCTCAGCGCTTCATCAGGCTCATAAGAAGGTAGAATGGGCCTCAATCAGTTAGTGAAAAAAACAAAATAATAGCAATAAAATAATGATAGAGAATTAAAAAATATTTAACAGTAAAATACATGCAGTTGAAACAAACAAATAAGTAAATAATAAAAGAAAATACCAAGGAAAAAAATAGAATAAATATAAATTACAGAAAAATAATATAAATAAATAAAGAATATTATTTGAAATACAATAGAAGAGAGCCATAAAAAAAGGAAATATGAGAAGTTATTTACAATTAATTTCTTTTAAATATTTTTTAAATAAAGTATTTTTTATTTTTACTACATTGTAAATGTGTTGCTTTAACACCAATGTGGGAAACTGGCTCTTTCTCTCTCTGAATAAAAGTTAACAACTTTAGCAACTTAATGTTTGTGTGCTCGCCTCGGGTCAGAGTCACAAATCGAAACACTAACGAGCCTTGAAATCAAAGTCTCTGCACTTAGCGGCGAGTTTATTTGGGCCTCCTGCTGCTCGTGGATTGATCTCAGCACAGCGGTAAACGCAGAGCAGATGGGCGACTGGACCTCATATATGGCATATAAACTCTTTACAATTACTTCTTAACCCACTCCTCTATTACTTTATTCTACACCCACTCCCTTTACAGTATTTCTCCCATTTCCCCAGGTTGTCATGGTGCCGGTTAAAGCTGCCTGCCTCTGAGGGCTCTGTCAAAGACCCTCCTCTGCTGTCTGGTCTCTTTCTCTCTCCACGATACGACGCTGAAGCAAGGCTCTTGAGTACCCACTTTCACAGCAAACAGTCGTCCAAACTCTCAGCAAGAGGTGGGAGAGCACAAAGACAGGACTGAGCTCATCACTGGCATCCGGCTACACATGATTATGAGAAAGCTAGCCGTTAGCCTTGTCTCCTTTGTAGTCCACCGGTGTTTAATCAGATAATGGAAAAAGACTCTTCTGAGAGAGAAGGGATCCCAGATAGGACGACTTACTGTATGAGTGTCTTCTAAAACTTGCCATTCGAGTGCAAGGATGAACAGGAGACAACCTACGATCACCGCAAGTTCTGTTTAACAATTCTGTCGAAGCAAACCAGGCCCACACACCATCCATTATCAAAGTGAGGACATGAAAACAGTCAATACATTAAAACAAGAGACAGACAGGAATTACTGCTCTGGCTTTTGCAGTCTCGACTTCATCTCACCGCATTGATTTACGAAGCAAATTGGTGTCTGAGGTGTTGCAGTCGCCTGTTGGTAGCGGACAGCAGGACATAAACCACTCATTTGGAAGCATACACTTCAAACAATATACTCGGGGTCAATGCACAGACCTACTCAAGCAATGGTGATGGCAACACTGACTAAATCTTCAAGGCCAAGTGTGTGTGCTGCTATCCACTTGGCAGTGACACTAGTTTTCAGTGTGATTGCAAAATGTGTGTGTGATGCAAAAGAATATATTACTCCACACTGCTGTTTGTCTGCTTGGGAATATTTATTATGCATTTCCTATGCATTGAACACTGCTGAAGGTACAATTCTACCTATTGATGGGTTATAATGAAAGTTGTTTTCTGGAGAATATTTCCAAATGTTGATTTTAATATTGTATGTTGTGTATTTATGTTCCATTATATGTGTCATGTAAAGGTCTGTATCCACTGGGACAAACATTTTATGTTCGTTATGAGCTAAATGCTAACGCCAGAATGCTAATATGCTCACAATCAAAAGCCGGTATAATGTAACCACGATGGCCAGCTTAGATTAGCGTGTCAGCATGCTAGCTTTTGCTAATTAGCGCTAAATGGCTGTTAGGAACCTGTTTTCGCTGTTGCTCTTCAGCTTCGATTAATTTCTCTATGGGCAGAGAAGTGTACACACCAAACAACTAAAATGATTTTGAGCAAGGTCAATCTGGAAGGATTGGATTTTTCTCTTGCAGCCCTATCAGCTCTGTTTGGCATACAAAACACGTCATTGGATGATATAACTATCTAGTTGCAGTGAAAGTCGATCTGACATTTCTTGACAAACTACATTTTTGGTTTCCAGGAATGAACCATTTGGTAACGATTATCCCAACTTGCTGCGTCCAATACAACCTGGGGCTCAGTGTGGTCTGGAACTGTGTGTCTGCATACATTTAAGCATTCACGCATGTGCAAATTTGGGTGTGTACGCCTTCAATAGAGATGCAATGTTCCGTCTATATTTAAACGCAGTGAGCCGAGGCATAATGGTCTCATTCTGCTGCGTGCAAAAACAGAGAATATGCAAACAGCTATAGGCGTGGTGGCACCTTTGATGGTCCTATTCCTTTATCCTATCCAATAAAAAAGTACTATTCAAAGGTATTGAGTGTTTAAACACACATCTCAAAGTAATTATAAAGTATAACCTCAAAGCAAAACCTGCAATTTCAGTGCCGCACCTCCTTCTTTCTCCTTCACACTGGTATGTGATTATCATCTAGGCCACATCTCTCTCCGCCCCGTCACATAAATTCCACACTCGGCATATTCTTTTCTCGGTGCAACACAGCGTGAACACGCAATAGCACTCTGCTTGGAGAGCGGTGCAAAGTATCAGACATGCTCTGTTTTGAAGGGAAGGAAAACAAAGTTAGGGCGTCGGTGTTGGTTTCACTCTCACCTCGTTCTCTCTGATCTCATACTTGGATGAGTGCTTTCCCTGACTTTTCCTCCTGAGCTTCTTCAGGTCTGTCTGAGAGCGCTCCAGGGAGTCCTGCTTCACCTTGTGCTCCGACTGGTAGCGCTTGAAGGTGGCCTACAGGACGTTTGACAAGAGAGCAGGTTGCAGTTTTCATGATACAAATGTTCCTCGGAAACAAAGAAGCTAAAATAACCTTGTGGTTCACAGAACCTAACAGTCTAATTGGCCAATCTAAGCTCTGCGTTCATGAAATAGGTTTGCATTATAAGTTCTACAAGCGATGGAAATGATTATGTGATTACACTTACGTTCATGTATTTCACATCCATCTCTGTCTTCTTCTCCAGCTCAATAATAACCTCCCTGTGGAACGTCTTGAACTGCAGAGAAAAACAAACACACACATACACACATTGAATTCATTGCAACACACTTCATGCTGCATGCACGCTGCTCTAAACACAATGTACAGTTCAGTCACATGGCTCAATGGAGACGCCGCGATAAGAGTGGAGTGACCTGGTGGAGTGCATGATAATGGGTTTCTGAGAGGATGAGATTCCGACCATCAGGGAAGTCTTATCAGCTTGTTATGGTTAAAGATTTACAACTTTCCCCATTCGCAGATACATTAGGATCAGTCCAGGGTAGGCACAAGCAGACACGAGAGCCCTTCACGCAGCACGTCGTTTGCTTTTCTACGTAAGAGATTGGGCTTATTTCCAAAGAGAATCAGACAAGACTGAGAGTGTTGGGTTTCAGTTTTCGCCGTGTTCAAACCGACGACACTTGACTTTAATTTACTTCTTGTCAGGTATTTGGGGCATTTCACCCCGAGGCAGCAGGGTCAGGAAGGATTCTGGTGGGTTTTCCACTCTCAACAAACTCTCTTTAACCTTTTGTTACAACAAATTAAAACTCTCTAAAATGTGAAGAATAAGCACAAAAGGTTGAAGAGGTCAGGTGTTCGGAACAGGCAGTGTAGTAAATGGCAAATCTCTGTCTGTTATGTGAAGAGAAGCTGAGTGTTGGTGGCCACAGGGTATTATAAGAAAGACAGTCGGTGACTTGAAAATGCACAAAATTGTTTTAATGACATAATTGCAGCAAAGGCAAGGCTTTGTCTCGTTTCATTCTTTAGATCCATTATCTTGCTTTCATTCTTCTGATTCAGGGCCTGACGGAATGAAGCAAAGACTAAAGGAACAACTTAAGAGCTGTGAGCTTTACTGAGAAAACACAAGGTGTCCATTCAAAATCAGAGCTGGCCATATTCTATGTTTTTCGTTTTGTCAATGAATCCCATGAAAAGACCAAAATGTCTCTCTATTTTTACCAAACGCTGCTCAAGCATCAGTAAATTGTGCATTTGTTGGGGACTATTTTTAAAGGGTACTCACGTTCTCATCCAGTTCATTGTAGACCTTCCTGTGGGCGTCTGAGATCTCCATCAGAACCACACCTAGAGAAACGTCAGGAACATGTTTTAGTATTTCAGAGATCAATGGCCCATTGACTTTGTATTCTGACCAGAGACAAGAACATTCAAAATACATTTTCTTTTGCTTTCTTGTTGTGAGTTAGCTCATTGTTTTAAACCATGATGTGATTTGTTTTATTTGCACATTTCATATATGCATTTGCAGATATAATGTGTTAATTTAGGAGCTCCAGGAGGTGCTGCCTGGTGTGTGGTTTTGTTTCTTTGAGACAGAGCTAGCTGTTTCCCCCTGTTTCCAGTCTTTGTGCTAAGCTAAGCTAACTGACTGTTGGTGGTAGCCTCATATTTACTGTGCAGACATGAGAGTGGTACCAATCCTCTCATCTTACTCCTGGCAAGAAAGTGCATTTCTCAATAATAAGTATCCCTTGAAGCAAGGCAAGTGACAGCGAGCATATGTAAACCAGACACCACACATACACATCCACCACAGACAAACAGTGTATAACCAGATGCAAATTCAGGAGAAAATGTTTTTTATGAATACTTTCCATAATAAACCAACAAAGCCTGTTTTCATCAGGCATTGCATACATCTTTAAAGCCCATATTTTACAGACGAATTATCTCCTTTCAATATTTGAACAGCAGTCAATAAGTAATCTCTATGAAACGTTCTGGTATCGTGCGGTCAGATACAGAACAGTCTCCATTCACAGACAGGCTACAGCATAGATAGAGCAGCATATGACACGAGACAATGGGAGTGAGTCAATACTGTAAACAGAAGTGGACAATCGTAGCTAAGCAGTTTATAGTGCTACCTCTATCACAATGGGGTGAAATCTAGACTCAAGGTTTACTATAGGACACCGCGTTTCAAATGAAACCTGTAAAAAACAATATGGGACATCATATCTGGACGTGTGATAGTGTCACCACTAGGGAAAAGAGAACAACCTGCTCGAGTTTCAACACCTTCAGGAACAGGTGTCAGGTTCACTTTGGGATTTTTAGGTGAAAAATCTCTAAAAGCTGCCCATGTCGGCACACTCTAAACACACATTGGACCAAACACCTGACATTCCTCCCCGCACGCCTCCACTCAGAGCAAACAAACGTAATGACCCACTGATACAGAGCCGTACTCCCGTGATCCAGCAGGCAGCGACCAGCTACAACAACATTGCCCTCTGAAGGTCACCAGAACGTACTGGTAAATGCTTGCCTTTGTGCTTCGACAGGGAGGGGTGGCGCAGGGCTCAGGGGCTGTTTATACAGCACCCAACAACGGACTGCGAGGGGTGGAAGGGGGAGGCTGAGAAAAGGCCGGGAGGGGGTTCAAAGAGGCCGTTGTACACCTGCAGGTTTCACCTTTGGGGTTAACAAGGTGTGAAAGCCTGCGAGAGGGAGGGTAAATGCTACAGCGCGTTACCACAGCTTGGTACAGACTGTACGGTGAATCATGAATCTGTCACACGAGAGGGGAGCAAAAGTACAATGTTGCAAAAAAGCAAGATAACGGATGCTTGCTTTCTCTCCGTGGAATTAAGGTGTGAGAGTTGAGGTGTAAAAAAGTACAAAAATGGATTCTCTCTAGCTAAAGTGTGAATAAAAAACTAAAAGAAGTATTTGGCTACAACAAAGTTTTTAGCATCTACTGGGCTGAACTGCTATTCAAGCTTTTTTGACTTTATCTAATCTCATATCTCTATCTGTTGCAGGCTGTTTGTTCCCCTTTTGAAGATACTAAGTACCAAGATAATCTAATCTTGCGTCGACGATTTGCACCATGTGCATGTGGAGTTTTACGCATACATGGTTGATAAGAGATCCCTGTGGAAAACTGAACTATCCATGATTCACTCATATGGCTTATGAGTAATGAACACGCCTGTTCTCTCCTCCCCTCGTTACACTCAAATTTGCCATGCCAACTGATTCAGATACTGTAGCTTACAACTAGAAAAAGATAACTTTGAAGCATGTAGTTTGGTAGTCGGAGCTTTAAGCCTGGCTGAAGTTGGTCATTTAAAAACTCGTGCAGTTGACATATAATTTGTATGGAATCTTTGCGACAAGTATCAAATGCCTGTTTTACAAGACAGCAGAGAGGACGCAGGGATTTCGATATTCTCAACAGGTGATGCTATTTATGTCCTGGGAGTGCCCTGTGCCAACCCCTAACTGTGTGGTGTTAGATAAGCAAGCTGTACAACATGAGATGACGCTGGCAGGGCAAACACTCGTAGCTGACCCGGTGGCACCTTTCCTCAACCTCGCCTTTATTTCGCTACTTTATCTGAAAGGAAATCTTTCCTTTATTGAGGTTACTCCTCTATCCAAGCGCAAACAACTTCTGAGTTAGCACTGAACTTGGCAGTGCATGTATTGGTCATGGTCTTGTGGAGCGGTTTTATCATGATGATGTGCATCACTGGGCTTGTCCGCGCAGATTTGCGGTGTGTGTGTCTGACGAAATGTAGCCTCCTCCTTTATGACTCAGGATCAAATGGTGTCTCAACCGCACACATTCCTGTGCAGGTGGGGAGAGACCATCGATGAGCTACTCCCTTCCTGTTATCATCATGATGTCACTGTGTTAAATGCTGAATTCACTGTCGTGGAAACACATGGGAAGGTGGCTGTGGTTAAACACTGGACTCTGGACTTACTGTATAAACAACCACCCAGAACCAACAAACACTGCATAAGGTAGATCATGTTGAAAGCTCAAAGATTAGCTCTTAAATGGCCCCTGAAGTGAGACCGTCTTGTAAAAAGCTGTTTTCAAGTTAAAAAAATGAACTGCAACTCAACTTTGAATCCAACATGGACAAAAAAATTGAATGTATCTACAAACTGGGCAAACCCTCTCTGCTAATAAAGATCATGTAATATGAAAAAGAAAGCTCAGGAGTGGCTTATTAATGGACCCTGAGGTGAGATTGTTTTGTCAACAACAACTGCATGAACTCAAACATGCAAACTAAAAGCTGCATTGCTTAGTTTAGTCCCTCTACAAAGTTTGGGAGACACACAACCCTATTTCATTATTGACGATTAATCTGCCAATCACTTTTCAAATAATCACCTATTTTATAAAATGTCGAACAATGGTGAAAAAAAATCCCATCACAACTTAAATAATTTGCCATTTTATTATTACCTTTACCATTAAATCACCGAAGACCGCCGATCGACTAATCAATTAATCAACTAATTATTTCACTCCATTCACACACACACACACTGAAATACTAAGTACGTGTACGTGATTAGAGCACTTTGGACGGCGCCCTGAAGTTATTACCAATATAAGATGCTATCATGAATATAGATCACCAGTTTCTCACCCTACTGATGATCAATAGCCATCTGTTTTTAGGTTGTATTCATTTATTATTGTTTAGTGATTGGAGCATCTACTGCCATTCGGCATGTCTACTGTGTGCTCCAGATCAGTAGCTGTGACAGCTTCCTTAACACAGAGCGATGACCTGCAGTCACACACGGCATTAAACGTCATTTATTACTAGAACACATCAAACTAACTGCAGCCTCGAGCATCAATATGAATCTCTCTTTACTTAATACAACAAACTGAAGGCAAACCTCATAACTTTAAAAAAAAAATGCTTTATGTTGTTTATAGAGAGAGAGTTTCTCTAAATAATGGTTAAAATCTATAATAGACGATAAGCGACTTCAGATGCCGAGCAAGCGAAGGAGGGACAAGTGGGATATTTTTGTGAAAGGACTGAAGTGTGACGTTTTTTTTTAGATGCTCCGACATCATGGTTTATTGAGCGGTAAGTGAGTGTCTGGTCTCTTTAGAGGTCCCTTGGAGGAAACTCCCAGTGTGCTGGGAGCCTTTACTTTAATAGCAGATGCAGAAGGAGGTTGTGTTTGAGATCTGGGATCAGTAGGGACCTGTAGTGTGACGACAGGAGTCATAACTGACTGAACAATGAGTGGACTCTGAAACAACCTCCACCCTCCTTTATTTATTTTCAACAGTCTAGGCCTGGTTTGGGAAAACAATATGTCTGTGTGACTGACCTGGATACTTTGGTGGCACAGATACATTTATGCCATATGGTCCAGATAATTGTCCAAAGCAGCTGCACATACTTCTATTTTTAAATACTTTTTAAAGGTTTTAAAGTAATAGTTTAAAATCTTTGCAAAAGACTTACTTACTCACTTTCCTGCCAAGAGTTAAATGAGAAGATCGATACCACTTTGATGTCTGTATACTAAGTTGGCCTATGCATCTCATTAATTATAAGAAAAGCGCTGCCAACATTTTTAAACCCAACTGGCCCAAAGGGACCACTATTAAAGTTCTTGACGAGGAGATATATTCTTAAATGGTTAACATATAAACTGCATTATTTGTGATGGAGACATGCATTGTTATTAATGGTGAGCCTGACCACTTTATCAAGTTTACCCGCTCTTGCCAAGAAGAAGGCTTTCGAAGTTCTTGGACTAACTTTGCACCAGACAAGTTTTTTGGAGCCAGGACTAATGAGTCTGCTCCAGGTGCTCTCAGACACAAACTATAACGCAGGGAGAGAAATGAAGGGAGATGAACCTTCACTGACTTTTAGTAACAATTTATGGTTCCTCCGATGCTTCTGGTGATGTTGTGTCTGTAAAAAAAGATAAATTGCCCATCATGTACTGATGTCTCGGGCAAAACTGCTTGTTGTGTCTAGAGAGCAAAACGGTCCTATGAAATAGCTCTAAGCCAGGTGTTTGAAATGTCACAATCTTTCATTATCTATACCATCAACCTCCCCACAGAATAAATAAAAAAGCAGAGACCTTCTCAAAAGCAGAGACCTGTTTCAGAAGCTATCGGTAGGAAACACTCAGCAGTTTCCCCGCTCTAAATCCTCATTCTCTGGGGAGAAACAAATAGCTTTGGCTGACATTACCATTTTTCTCATGCTGACATACTTCAATATTTCAAAAAACAATTTCGGCTCAACAAACGAAGAAAAGGTGGAAGGGGTGGGGATGTTGCTATTCTTTCTCCTGTAACATTTTCAGTCCCTGAATACCTGCTGCTTTTCAGAGTGGAATGGCAACTCCCTGTGGAGTCCAGTCATGGCCTCATGCACAGGAAGTTTCTAATTGTACACCCACTGAAAACTATGACTTTTAAATGTTGCAAACCAGCTGCGCTGCCATGGCTCTTTATTATACATGAATGACAACACAAATACTTACTGATGCCAAGCTATAATCATATAGTATTTCACCTCAAAAACTGATGGCACATTGATATTTCAAAACAAACACGTAGCGTGTTTACTTCTTTTTTACTTCAGTGAAAAAAGTACAATGTATGTCCAATGCTAAATGGTACCCTACTAAAATATAGCACAAGTAGAGACGAGCAAACTGACTCAGTATGTCACTAACAGCAATATCTTTCTTATGTTAGCTAACATTAGCCACCATTAGCTACACAGCATTATATATTTGTTATCATTGGCTACACAGCAATATATGTTAGCTAACATTAGCCACCATTAGCTACACAGCATTATATATTTGTTATCATTGGCTACACAGCAATATATGTTAGCTAACATTAGCCACCATTAGCTACACAGCATTATATATTTGTTACCATTGGCTACACAGCAATATAAGTTAGCTAACATTAGCAACCATGGTGGAGTGTATTGACATTTTTTTACTTTAAAAAGTTCTTAAATATTTGGGGTAATTGGTAGTGGTTAGAAGTGGTCGCAGCCCATTAAAGGATCAGCGATGGAAGAGCAGGAAATTATTATTTAAATAGGACATGGGAGAAAATCCCATCTAAGTGTTTACCTTTCTTGGTTTTAGTGCGCTGTATCATTAAATCAAATTCCTGTGACCATTGTGGCCAACATTTGGCAAATAAAGCGATTCTGATAAAGTAACTATGCTGTTCGGATTTTTAAGTCATAAATAAAGAGATCAGACAGCACAGGTAATAGGTTTTCACGCATTGTCTTCAGGCAGTTGTGACTTTTTTACTTGTACACTTTCACCCCCATTATAGCTATAATTTGAAAGAGAAAATGTGGACAAACTGTAGACAAGGAAAACAAGCTGCTTGGTATGAAGTAAAAGCCTCAGGTAACTTTCTGCAAATGCCTGCCAACCACAGTGACGCAAGTGCTTTTTACACCACACCATTCACAGAGGGAGGGGAAAAAACTCTGAAATCATGTCAGAGACAAAAATCCATGCAGGTGCCTGCAGTGGAGATCTAGTCATAACAACACAGTAATGCATTTGGTTTGTCATTCTTGACAGTGGTGCAGTTTAAAAAGAAATTATGCTCAATTCTTGGAGTTGTATGACTAAATCAAGCATCCTAGTGTCAGAGAGGGAGCGTATGATTAAAGATTCACTTCAGGCAATAAGAAGCAATCGTAAATCCTGTTGAAGTATTTACGAGGACTGAAGGTAAAGACCAGTCTGTACATTCTAACACGTCTATCGTTGTTTAGCTCTGTCTTATGTCTTTTGTTTTAATATATACAGCACCAATATAAAAGAAAGTAGATGTTTGTCTCTTTCCATACAGTTCGGGCCTCCTCTGGCCTCCGCAGACAGACAGTAAAGGCCGGCGTTTTGGTGAGGCAGATGGAGGAACAGGGGATGAGGAGGATCAGGGCTCTGTTTTTACTGTTTGTTCAGCGTGTTTGCTATTCTGCTCGCTGCAATGTGTGAGAGAATTCACACTGCCTCAATACCGTCCATTGCAGGCAGAGCTGAGGGTTCAAGACTTTCACCTTTTTACTAGAAGCCATTTTAATGTTTTCTATGGAATGTTATGATTGGGGCCAAATAATGTCACTCCCTATAAATAAACCCTTTTAATCAGTTTTGTCTGTTCTTTAAAGTGTTATTGCTCTACTCAAATATGATGGAGATGCACATATACAATGCTGCAATTAACGTTAAAGCTGTAAACTTTCCTCTAAATATTCGAAAGTAAAGATGGCGGGGCATCTAGCATGGCCTTTGTGAAGTTATTCCACCTCGTTCATGCAGTGAAAATGTCACCGGCAAACTGTGTAGCGTGAACATACTTTTTAATGAAGCAATGATGTACTTGCATTGTTAACTGACAGATGCGGCACGACAAACTTGGCCAACATTGCCTGATAACAGAGTACGGAGATTGTTTCGCTAATTGGCACCAAGAGGGATTTTATACATTTAGCCTGTCGGGATAATAATGTGTAATAAGAAAGCTTTTTTTAATGTCACTAATTAAAAATCTAGAAGACAATCTTTCTGACTGACAGGAGAAAGGTGATATTTGGGGGTCCGGATTTTCTGTTGGTTGAGCATTATGAAACGTATTCTTCATCATGGTTTCATTTTCAGACGCTGACACTATGCTGCCTTGTTTGCTAACTTCCTTAAATCCTTTTTTACATTTTCACCAAACGTGACACACACGCTTCATCTTGTCTCTTTCACGCAGTGGCAGCTCTGTGACAATCACCTCGCCTGGTCTGACATTTCATCAAATTTTGTTTATGACTGGAAGCGATGCAAATGCCATCTAACAAAACAAGAGAACTTCGTCAATGCCTGTTATTCACTGTGGTAAAAGACCCAGCGCTGAATGACGGAGCATTATTTATCCATTTGTACTGCCCTACTCTGATTCTCTGCATGTCACATCAACTTGAGCTTACAAGAGGGCTAATTTGTTGCCCCTGCATTAAGGAGTGACACAGAATAATGATAAAAATAAAAAAAACTTGATGAATCGTAATAGCCCCAAATTACAACCCCTGGATGAAGTGGGTCAGCTCCACATTTTAGCACTAATAGAATATTTGGAGATGAGTCACATGATGGATGAAAAACAACCTGTACAGGCTTTTTGGCAGCCTCAGAGAACAGACAGAGGAAGCACTTCAATCAGATCGAGCGTGAGAGCAGACTGTAGTGAAATTCTGCTGCTACTGTGCCACAAGGGTTCATTCAATGTTATTTCCAGATGTTTGCATAATTGACTTGCATACAGGCAAAATATGGCATATGGTGGTGATGTGAAAAGTCACTTTCATATATTCATGGGGACTTTAAAGGAATCAGTTCAACTTTTTGGTAAATACACTTCTTCGCTTTCTTGGCAAGAGTTAGATGAGATGATTGAAACCACTCCTGTGTCTCTACGATACACATGAGGCTACAGTCAGTTAGCTTAGCTTAGCATAAAGTCTGGAAACAGCCAGACTCTGTCCAAAGGCAACAAAATGCGCCTACCAGCACCTCCAAACCTCACTAATTAACACATACCAGTATACAGAGGCTAGCGGTTTCCACCCGTTTCATTTATGCTAAGCTAAGATAACTGGCTGCTAGCTGTAGATTTATATTGATGCTGTACTATATTTATACTTTTTTAAGCTCTAGCTTTACCACAGATACATTTGAATATGGCTATCAGGCAGACCCCCTTGAGATTTCACTCACTGTAGGTAGATTTGACCTGGACTTGCATGACACTCACCAAGCTCTCTGGAGACCGGAGACACGATGGCATTCTCTCCGACCTTTGAGACTGCATCAAAATAGGCCTTCCCAGCCAGAGTCATCGCTGCATGGGAGAGACAGACAAACATCATCCAGTTAGCGTCTGAGAAACGTGCCGGACCATTTTGTGTTCTGGTGAAAGTTTACTGAAACCAAACTCTTTGGTTAGTGGAGATACTGCTGACACTGAGGTCAAATTCAAAGTTCACATTACGACGTATAGATCATCAGGTGTCATCCTTTTTTGAGGGGTGAAAGCTGTGTTTACCTGTGACTGATTTCTCGTAGCTCTTCCCGAGGTTGACCAGATTCCTCAGGCCTGGGTTGAACTGCTCCATCACATTCTGGGGAAAGGAGCAGAGATTGAGTGTTGTGGTGGAAAAACTAATATTTTACTCCTGATCTAGAAACAGTTTCACACAATTTGATAACTCATTTTCAAAGGACCTGTCGAGGATAATAAAACTTGTGAGGCTATTTTTGTGGGAGTGGGTGGAGAACAGAAACACATGAAAACAAGAGCAAGTGTGTGCGCTGTTGCTCTAAAAATATCATCACGTCAGAACAATAAACTTTCAATCTTTAACTTGACCCCTCACACATGCTTTACAGCTCCCTCATAAGAGCAAAGTCCCGTACAAAGTGGCAGCTATTTGCAGTATGAACCTCATCACTCTCCCCTCCCAACCCCTGCCCCCCTTCTCTCTCTCTCTCTCTCTCTTTCTCATTGAAATGCCTCAACAATCAAGTGCTGTTCACCTCCCTGTCTCTATTCCCCTGGCACGCCCTCAGTAGAACAATGAAGTGGTAGGTATGACTTTACAGGAAGAAAAAAACAGAGCAGAAGAGGAGAGGGAAAAAGGGAAACAGGTTCCTTGGTTTCTCTCTCTCTCTCTCTCTCTCTCTCTCTCTCTCTCTCTCTCTCTCT